TCCCAAGTGATGATGAGGTCAAATGGTTATAAAACTATTTCAAGACCATTTCAGGCTGGACATAAGGAAGAATTTCTTTACTGTCCGAGCCCCCAAGGTCTGGAACAGCCTGCCATCATAGGTAGTTCAAGCACCTACACTGAACACCTTCAAGAGCAAATTGGATGCTTATCTTGCTGGGATCCTATGACCCCAGCTGACTTCCTGCCCTTTGGGCAGGGGGCTGGACTCGATGATCTTCTGAGGTCCCTTCCAGCCCTAATGTCTATGAAATCTATGAAACCATTCTGCTTTCGCTGTGAATTCTTTGTCATAGACATCTATTACATGGTGTCTCCATGCTTGTTTTGAGCCTATTTAGTTCATTAAATAAGTCTGCCAAGTAAGGTAGCTTAGCATTCCATCTGGGGTCTTTGAAATAATCAACAAATGAAGAATTCTGCTCCAACAAAAACTAAGTTAAGTCCACTCACAGATCAAACACTCTTCTCAATACAGATCCACGAGAAAGCCAGAGAACTTCAGAACGCAGAAGGAGGTTGTGGTACTCGGCACCTATTTCATTATACAGAGCAGCAAAAATGCACGAGTTCAGAAGTCTGGCTTTAATGAAATTCATGATTTTTTATAACAGAGGAAAACATCATTCAGGTCAGAGCTCAGTTTTTTTGATGCTAGTGCTTCTCTATGCAAGATGCAATGAGTTGAAACAACATTTGGTGCTACCTGTTGTATTCTCGCTGTCAGACCACTTCTATTGCCAGTCATAGCCCTTGCTCCATCTGTGCAAATGCTGACACAATTTTCCCATAAAAGGCTTTTTGTACTTACGTACTGATGAAGCACTTCAAAAATATCTTCTCCTGTTGTTTGTGCTGGCAGTTCAAGACAACAAAAAGTCTTCAACCAACTTCTTTTCCCAAACCAGCAAACAAATACTAACAGCTAAGTCTGATTTCCTACATCTGTAGATTCGTCAACCTTAAGAGCATATGTACAGACTGTTTTCACTCTCTAAAGCAGTTGTGTCTCCACATCCTCTGCCATTCTGCTAATTCTTCAAGAAATGGTATTGTCCAAAACAGGTATCTTTTTAACTTTACCTGCTTGCTCATTGCCAAACTGTACTTTACAAATGTCCATTGTAGCAGGTATAATCAAAGATTCTGCAATTATATGTGCTTTCTCGCATTTTGAAATTGAGTGATATCAGATATGAGGCTTTCAGAGTACTTTCACTGACTTTAATAACATGAGTAAACACCTCCTTCTCACATTTGAAACTTTCAAGCCACCATTCAAAATGTTCAACTGGTTTTCCAGCCAAGCTGGCATGCTTAGTTTCCAAGTGTGTTTTTAATAAAGACTGCTTCACACACTCATTGGAGAGTTCCTCCAAACAAATGACACTTCGGTTTGGATTTATCTTCGGGAGTCACATATGTAAAAACGAACTCCAAATAGGCATTGCTATACTTACAAATTTTTTGTCACTTTGCACTTGTGTAGTACAGCCTTCCATGTTTTTTCCCTTCCAATTTTCTTTTGCACTCAAGGAATTTATCCATGTTCAACTGAGCTGTCTCAGTGCTCTGGCACTTCACAGGCACTGAAACTGCCCCTTGGGGCTACAGTGGAAAAATCAGGGAAAAATATTTATGGGGGGGGCTGAGCATGTGCACACGTGTGTGCACCCCACTCCCATCAGGTGGGTCTGTCATGGGGAAGGAGCATGGGGGGACGGACTGACACAAGCACACAGTGAGGGAGGGACTGGGGCAGGGGAGGGTTGTGGGACGCTTGGAGCCCAGGTGGCTTGTCCAGAAGTGGGGGCACTCCCACCGCTGCACACACCCTAGTGGAGGTCTGGGGGTCACGTGCCCCCAGATGTATGTGCAGGGTGGTGGCAGCTGCCGCTGCAGGCTGGACTCTGCACCCTGCTACTGCTGCCCCAAGACCCACGCAACACCATGTGCCTGCTGCTGCCAGGTGGGCAGCAGCCAGACAGACATACACATCGACGCGGACAGATGCACACGCAGATGCACAGGCTCATCTGGGGGAAGGTCAGCTCCTCACTGCCGTGTGAAGTCCTGGGGGGTAGGAAAAACCAAGACCCCCCAGATCTGTACCTGGGACAGGTGTAGGTTGCAGGCTGAAGCTCCCACCCTGCTTCCCTTCCCCAGGGCCTCTGGAGCCAGGGGACACAACCTAATATGGTTGGGGACAGTGGGGCCGCACAGGGATTCCTCATTGCTGTGAGCTCCCCGTGTCACCCGGGCAATGCACCTCCAGCACCTGCTGCTGCTTTGAGAGGTGAAGTCCCACGCTGCTGCCCACATTGCAGCCCTGCACGTAGGTGTGTCACCAGGGCAGTGAGATACGGCAAGGTGGTTTTCCATGTGGCTCCTCCACTCTCTACCACACCAGGTCATGGGGCGGCCAGGGCAGGGGGGCAGGCTGTGGCCAGGAACAGCAGCGAGCAGGGCAGGTAACCTGTGGCCCTGTCCTGCTCCCCACCGGCACCCTGCAGCCATGCTTTGCAGCCCCAGGCCCCAAGCCCCGCTCGGCTGGGCAGCAGCCCCAGCTCTGCCCAGCTCCCTCCCTCCCTACAGGGACCTGAACCCCACTCTCCCCTTCCACTTAGCTGCTGGAGCTGCTCTGGGACCATGTAGCCCCCATTTTTCTCCTGCTCCCTTCCAGCTCCCTGCTGGCTGGAATTCTGCCAGCCTGCAGGGAACTTATTGCAAAATCCA